ATAGAGATATAAAGAAAGAAAAGAGAAAAGATAGAAGACAAAGAGTCTGCCGAATGAAGGAAGAAGGAAAAGAAATGGGTTGGTCAACATTTGACCTTGTGGTTCATAGCATGCCACTTGTCAAAATGTGTGTGAATTCCACTTTTTGGTTAGTTACTCTTTTGCCCATCTACATCCATTTCAATACCAACAATGTCACTAAAATATCTCCCACCAAAATAGATACACATATATATACATGCTGGTGAAAAGTTCATAACGCCCCTTACCTAAAATGGCAAAATCGAGAGAGGATCCCTAGCCCGGAAATCGTCCCAACTTCCGAAAAATTTTAAAAGTGATCTCATTACCTCAAAATGACTTAAAAGAATTAAAAATACATTTCTAAAACTCTCGGCTCAATAAAATGACCAAAACGGCCCTCGAGGCCGCGTGACACGCAAATCGAGACACTAAAATATAAATAAAATAAAATGATTGGAAAAAAAAAAATCCAAAAAAATCTGGGACATTACAAATAAGCTTTTAGGAATTCTGAAGTTGTAGTGCAAAAGCCGTATCAACCTAGATGAAACTCAAGGTTTATATAGAATTTTCAAAGACCTATATATACATAGGAAAATGTAATTTTCATGGATAGGACTTTTGGTAGAATTATAAACCAAATAGGAAGGTAAATCAGAACATGAAACTAAGTTACCAAATCCTGCTGAAAGCCTTGAACAGGTTCAAGATGGCCAGTGAAATTTTGAAGCAATTATTTGATCCTTGAACCGGTTCCAAAAAGCTTGAACCGGTTCAAGATGGTCAGTCTTGAACAATGAAGGCCAGACACCTGTTTTGGTAAGTTGCAAAACTAAGTATGAAAAGTCTTCTAACCTCAAAACTCATCTTCCTAATATGTTGTTCATTCCTTTTTCGTAGATCTTAGTATCTCAAACTTGAATAATAACTTTCCAATTCCTCAGTCGATCTCGATCTTGAATTTAGAATGTGAAACTATAACTTGATTGAACTTGTTTTCACATCAAAATTTGCCAATTACAAAAATTATATCTCATAATCTCCCAATTTGGCAATTTCGTGACAAAACCCTAAAAATAATATGTAATCTACCCAAGCAGAAAAAGCAAATTACAATTTTGTCAAAGACACGGAATTTCTGGAATTTCTTCTCTGTTCTCTTCACTTCTTGGATAAAATATTTTACCTGATTTCCTGCACATTATCAAGCAAAACTACCAGTGAAAGTTTAATAAAAATAATTTTATAAAAACTCCCCCTGACTCCCCCTTAAGAAAGTATCAAGTTTTATCCCCCTTAAGTAACCCTTGTTCTCCCCCTTTTTGGAACAAATTGACAAAGCAAACAATTATTGGAATAAAATAGAAGAGAAATAGCTAATTCAGTTAAAACAAGCGATTCAGCCAAAAAGATAATAATATCCATAAAATAATGAGAATGTCAATAAAATATGATGTCATGATGCATGATTAGAGACAAAATATCAAGCATCAGTATCTCCAAAAAATAATATCAGAAGAACATCAATAATCTTCACCATCCTGATCATCACCATCCTGATCATCACCATCCTCATCACCATCATCAGTCTCCTCATCATCATCCTCAGCTACCAAAGATGGATTTGGAGGAACAAGTCTGTAGACATCCTCTAAAGAACCACCTGTTTGTTGAACTCTAAGCTATCTGATCTCAAGCTTGAACTCTTGAATATCATCCATCATTAATTGTTGGTTATGAAGGATAGTCTGTTGATTCTGAAAAAGGAGATAATACAATAGGTTCGCATCTTCTCTAGAAAAATTTCCTTTGAGAGGAAATAGTTGTGTAATCTCTGGTACCTGTGACGGTGTTTCTTCAGATCCTCTCTGAGCTTTCCAAGCATTCTCTCTAGCTTTCTTGGACTTGTTCAAGGCACGAACATCCAATTCAGTCATGATATGCTGATTGTATGCTCTAGGAGGAATCAAAATCTTCTGTTTCCTATAGAAATTCATTATGATCACTAAAAATGGAAATGAATAGCGACGAGAGTTCTTCTTGTAATGAACCATCATCAATTGCACAATGGATGATGCAAGTTGAATGTGTTCTCCTGTAATAAGAAAATATAGAACATGTGCTCGTTCTAAAGTGATCTCGTCTTTCTTCCCAAAGTAGCCTAGATTGGCCATGGCAAAAATATTAAAGAATGCCGCTTCTCTGTGAGAAAACGAGCATAAATATATTAATCATTCCTTGGAGATCCATGAACACAAATGATATTAGCAATTTGGGGCAATTCTAGACCTAAGCCTTCCAAAGATAACACCTTTCCAGGAATTGAATGTCTATCTGGGGTATTCATTATGGCTTGAATTGTTTCTTCATCAACCATGTAGTCCATCCCAAAAATAGACACGATGAAGTGCATCTCATAAATTTCTCGAAAATTGGCATAAAAGTAGTGAATCATATCCTGAGAAAAATTACCATTGTTGAGTTTTATGAAGAACATCCATTTGTTTTTCTCAATGTAAGTAACAAGCTTCTGCCCAGCACTGTTTCGAAGCTTTTTCAAATTGACATTCTTCTCGGTTTTGATTGGACCGTCTTTGTAGACGTCATTATATGCCTTCTAAGCAAGAGCATTGTATAAGTGATCTTCTGAAAACTTGACCTTCCCAGTAGCAGACACAGATGGATACCCAGATGGTACCGAATATGACGAAGAATCAGTCGCCATAGGTATGGGAGAAATCTCCATTGGAGCATTAGAACCTCCTTGGGGTTCTTGGATGACAATGCCTATTCTAGCTCGCTTGGGAGCTTTTGGAACCTCAATTATTTTGCCATTGGCCTCCTTAGAGATTCTTGGTGCCATTTGATTCACAAAAATTTTTGGTTTGAGGTTTCAAACTTCTTTAACGAATTTTATCAAACACCTGGTGTACAACCCTAAAGGTGTTATAGAGAAAGCTTGATTTCAATATTCAATCCCCACAAAATAAACACAAAGCTCAACAACAATAGAAGATTGTAATCTCAGTCACAAGTAGAATATTGTATAAAGTGATATATGATGTTATATATGAAGATGTGAAAGTTATGTGAGAGAAAGAGAGAGAGAGAGCAAAAATCGTACAAAGAGGGGACGGCAAAGTGACCCTTCGGCGGGCAAGAAGGAACCTTAAATGCCTCATGCATGCCGGCTTGAACCGGTTCAGCAATTGTGGAACCAGATCAAGTCTGGCAGTTCCTTTTTGAAAGGAACTAAAGACCTCTTGAACCAGTTCAAGTCAGGCAGTTTCATTTTTTAATGAAACCTTGCACACTTGAACCGGGTCAAAGAATGTGGAATCGGTTCAAGTACTCCAGACTTGAATTCGTAGCCTAAAATTTTCAGAAAATTTTTCTTCAAAAATCTTTTTGAATTTTTCAAAAAAATTCAATTTTTTTTTTTATTAAAACAAAAACAAATCACTTTTATTCTTCAAGTTCACACATGATTCAAATTTCCAAAGAATTTTTCTGAGTATCTAAGAACACAAATTTTTGACTCCATAGAATCTTCAATTAATTTCAAATCTCATAAAGCAATCACAACATGAAATTCGATTTGCAAATTTTGCTGAAAAATTTAGAAATTAATCTAGCAAGTTCATGTGTGTGTGGAATCCAATCTCATCAATTTTCTATCAAATTACGTCAAATCATTGTCCAAATCATATGGATCGAAAAATATTAAGATAAGATTGTTTTTAAGCAAAAAAAATTTTTAAGTAAGGTGACTTTCACTCTAAAGAGCAGACAGTAATTCCCCATGTCAACTTGTCTCCGCCTTTTTTTTTTTTTAACTCAAATAACTCCACTTCAAAGTCTAATGAAAGCCAGACATCGGTTCAAGATGGCCATGAAATTTCGAAGCAATTGTTTAATCCTTTAACCGGTTCCAAAAAGCTTGAACCTGTTCGAGATGACCAGTCTTGAGCAATGAAGGCCAAACACCTGTTTTGGTAAGTTGCAAAACCTATACCAAGTATGAAAAGTGTCATAACCTCAAAACTCGTCTTCCTAATGTGTTGTTCATTCCATTTTCGTAGATCTCAGTATCTCAAACTTAAACAACTTTTCAATTCTGCAGCCGATCTCGATGTTGAATTTAGAACGTGAAATTATAACTCAATCAGATTTGTTTTGACATCGAAATTTACCAATTACAAAAATTATATCTCACAAATATTTCATGTGTGTGTGTGTGTATATATATATATATATATATATTGTTTTAGAAAGCATTTTACTCTTAAAAATATCATAGACTGCATACAAGTTTATAAACAATTTGGGAGTTGAATTTTTTGAAAAATTTCATGTAGAAAAAAATGTTCGGATATGAGGTTTGACACCGATGCACCAACCAACAACCAAAATCGTCATCATTAGTAGACAAACAAAAAAATCAAGAGAAAAAAACTTTCAAGTTTACCTATAGACTCAAGTCTAAGAGTTGGGTTTGGATGTACTATAACATTTGTGCATAGGAAGATCGTTCATAGTCTACACACATGCATAGAACCTGTGAACTTGGATCCTCTGCTGTACACACAAGTGTGGACTGTAAACTCAAATCCTATGTTCTAGTGCACTTTAAGGTGTGCATATATTGTGAATCGTCAAATTCAACATTAGCACTTGTGTTCAGACAAGAACTTGGTGAAGGCCTGGTGGGAGCAATTGCCCCCACAAATTTTCTCTCTTTTTTTGCTCTTATATATACCTATTGAATTTTTTTATTTTTGGACTACATATCTATAAAATTTCTTCTTATTTTTTTTATCTTAAAGATCGCCCTCTCTTTTTGCTACTGCACTCAATCCCAATATTAATCTCTCACCCTCCTTCTAGAGGTTGGTGTTGGGGTTATCCTACGGACAAAATATAGTATAATTGACAATTATTTGAAAAAAAAAAATTCAACTAAAAAAAAACAGAGAGAAAAAAAGAAATCATTCATAGTAGAATTCAAAGCTTCTGTCCGTTAATGAGGTTTCATAACAAGTTTAATTTTATTAGTCAAAAACAGTACTCTCTCTCACTTACAATTATATATGTAATGGCCGAAAAATCAAATCAAACCTTATTTTGACTCGATTTTAGACGAAAAGGTTCAAAAGCTTCGGCTCCTCAACACCATTCTTGTCGCTCCCGGAGCACGTCAACATTTCCGATCTGCCGGAATCAAACGACATCGTCACCGTCTGAATTCTGGCCGCCTGATAATTCCGTCCTCTACCTCCTCTTCCCGCCGAAATCCATGTAGCCGGAGAGAAATTGAAGTCGGTTGAGTGTTCGGAAAGCCGATTTTGAAACTTCATCGAGTTAGCGAGAAACGCATAGGAGCCTTCATCGCCGTCCGGATACGGAATTCCAGCATAGATCGGCCGCAATTCGCCGCCTGCGAGCACCGTCTCCACGGCGGCTTGGCACACCTGCCATTTCCCGGCAGAGAGGAGACCAACGGCGCCGTTCACCGGATTCACAGTGCGACCACACGCTTCGAACAACAGTGATTGAAACAAAGCTTAAAGACAAATTAAAAGGCAAACAAAAACCAAACAGAATAAGAAACAAATCAATTGAATAAGCAAACAGAAAGCAAAGCTTTGATCAGATCAAATTAGGTTTTCGATTACCGGCTCTCTTGCTCTCCGGCACGGCGGAGATGAAAGCCATGAGATCGCCCCGACCGAAGAACTTGGAGACGAAGAGTGTGGCGTTGGCTTGTGCCTCGGGGCTATCGATCCACTGGAGACTCTGGCGGAGTATGCATGAATCGCTGCATCCCTTTCGGAGCACTCGGCAGCCATTGCAGCTCATTTTCTCTCTCTAGAATCGGAGATTTCTTGAGCTCAAAGGAAGGGAGGAAGAAGAAGAGACAGAAAAATAGAGAGGTTAGCGTTTAATAGAGGTGGTTTCTGGAAAAGGTTAATTGTATAACATCCCTAAACTATAAAAAAAAATTATATATCACCCCATTTTATACCGATAAGTTATTACATAGTTTCAAGATCATTTGTCTGCACTCTGGGCTATTCACTGTTGGACACTTATTCGTGTTGAAAATGTATAAGTTTTTTTTTTAATTTTTTTACTTACAAGTTCAACTATAATTAACCGGGATCAAAAGTCTCGAGACAATTTTAAAAAATTTCTTGTATACGAGCTACTCAAATATAACCTTTAAGATTGGTCAAATTTAGTCAAATAAAAAGATAGCAAAAAATTTGACTAAAACTATGTTGTTTTTTCTATAAATGTATTATTTTGATATCAAATGTTTAAATTGTGATTCTGTATTCTCCTATGGTAAGATTTTCCTTCTGAAATTTCTTTGTAATTAATGTTAAAAAGAAGAAAGCCAGGAATGACTGATCTACAGAGGTTAATAAAGAAATTATACTAGTTAGAATGAGCAACCATAGGGAATTGGGTAATTTTATAATTAGACTGAGTAATTGGATAAATATGATTAATTTTTACATGAGTAATAATTAATGTAATCGTGTGACGTGATGAATGCTTGAATCGTTATTCATTTTTAATAATACTTAGGATATTCACGTTGTCTGATGATAAGTTTCTACCTTTCTTTATTTGGATGTGTCAGTTATTCTTAATTTATTTTTTTTGTATTGAACTTATAAAAAATTTCTTTATTTGGTATAAATTTAATAATTCATTACTATCAATTCATTGAGTACATTTTATTGGTGAAATTAACCAGTTGAATTGATTGGTAAACTTTTAATAGTTGAATTTTATATTAGGAGTAAAATGCAATTTTTGATAATATAGGGGGTTTTGAACAATTAGCTTTTAAGAAGGGAAAGAAAAAAAAAAAAGTAACCATGGTTAAGTTGGTTAATTGGCGGTGGTTTTTAGGGATGGCAACGGGGCGGGTTTGGAGCGGGTTTCCCTAAATCCCGTCCCGCCCCTTTTAATTTTTGTCAAGTTCATGCCCGCCCCGAGACCCGCGACGGGTTGGATTTTCATATCCAACCCCGCCCCGTTAGGAAATACTGTGCCCCCGTGCCCGCCCCACTAACAAATTTTTTTCTCCCACTTTTTGGAACCTATTTAAATGTGCAAAACCTAGGAATGACACAACATAAATAAAATTATGTATCCTAATAAAAATAAAAAAAAAAACATGCACATAACATAATTCAGAGAACATAATAAACAAAAATAAAAGTTTAATACAACCAAATCACAACTTCCACCATAACCAAAACAAAAGCAAATTTAATACCAAATTTATATCCCAAATTAGGATTGTAAGAGATGGGTAATTGGGTAAGCCGCTAAAATAACTTATTAATATATATATATATATATATATATATATATATATATATATATAGTTATATACGGGGCGGGGCGGGGCGGGGCGGGGTGGGGCCCCTAAGATATGTATATTGAACCCTTACCCACCCCGTGACCCTCGACGGGTACAAAATTTGTATCCATGTCCGCCCCAACGGTATAACAAGTGCTCCCATATCTGTTATTAACGGGGTAGGACAGAACGGGATCCCGGCGAGACGGTAAAAATTGACATCCCTAGTGGTTTTGGACAAATGTGTTGGTGGGGGAATGCGTTGGATAGTACCTTCCAAAGTCTGAGTTTTCGCGGCTCCGGGTTTTCGCGGAATTGTGAAGGTGATTGCATGTGGACCGTCGGACTGGGTTGACGTTTGTCCTTTTTCCACAAAAACTAGGTCGGGCAGCCACGTACAGGACGGATAAGTCATCCTAGTTCTGCTCCTTTTTCCTCCACCGTTGGATTTTGTTTGGGTGGACCTTTTCCATGATTGTACTTGTTTGTTTGGAATCAAGTACATTGTGTAGACATCCACTAACCTAAAAGCAAATAGTGACGATAAGAGCCATCTTTAGGTTTGATTTTATTCTGTATGAATAGTTTGAATACGACAATCACTTTATTATTATTTATTTTATTGTTATTTTTTAGAGGTAATTTCACTGACACTTTTTAAATTTGATCAAATATCAGTATAAAATATCTTTCAAAAATAATTATCATTTAGGTCCATTTCAAAAATAATTATCATTTAGGTTCATTTTCGCTTTTTCGATACTGGCTCTGTTAAAAGTATGGGAAAAGACATATTTGCCCCTAATTTTTTAATTACATTTATTCTAAAATATTAGATAATGTAAATGACTTCTATACCCCTACACACTATTTCTCTCTCTTCTATCTCCATACGCTCCCTCTCCCATCTCTATTGCAAGAATGGAATTACTAAACGGCGTGAAGAGCAGCGCCGAGCAAGGAACAGCGACTGGCAAGAATCTGACCGACGGTGAACACTGTTCTGTGGTGTGGCGAGCAAGTAGTATATCAAGGCTAGCGATACAGTGGACTGAGAGGTGGAGCCGCAGCTCAGGCGGCGGCAAAGGGACATGTACATGGAGTTTCCGGTGACCCACCACCGCACCACTGCCCAAGCCATAGAGCTCGGCGAGAAATTCGTCGGCGCCGGCAAAGAAGAAAAGACAGCCTTCCACTTAGTAAATCCAAAATTGACTCAATCGTGGGAAGAAAAAAAGGCCAGAGCATCTTCTGGGCTAAATAGGGAAGGAGACCAGAAAAAGTGATGGAAGAGAATATGGAGGGAAGGAAGAGTGTGCTGCCATTTGTGGGCATGGTGATGGTGCAATTTGCACAAGTGAGGTTGATGATCGCAGGCAAAGAAGCCATGTCAGATGGAATTACTGACTTCACCTTCGTCTTCTACTCAAATTCCCTCGCTTCCCTTATTCTTCTTCCTTCTTCCTTTTTCATTCACAGGTACATAGATATGTGCATATATATATATATGTACATATATATGTACATATCCATCTAAAATGACAACAGTTTATCATTACACCTACCCACACACCCACAACCACCGTTTTTCACTTCGCCGGAATTACAGTTTGGCCGAAACTACAGTTTTTGTGTGTTGGGGTTGATTTGTGAAGTAATTTCGGGGTCAATTGCAAATTGGTTCATGGGATTGATCGCAACATCATCGTCTAGGCCCAGTAAGCAGATTGTAAACCATCATAACGTCATTATCTTTTGGATTATCCCCTGCCATTATTATGGTGTTGATGGGAATTTTTTTTGCCTTTACCCCTTACCATTATTATATTTAGTCTGGAACTCCTAAGATCTACGGAGTAAGTAGGGATGACAACTTGTTGGTGGGTGGGCATTAAATGCTTATCATGATGAGAGAGAGACATTGACTTGAGGTTAACTCTATTTTGAAGATCTATTTTATTATGTTTGTTTGTGTATATATATATATATATGTCTCTGTGTGTATTGTGTAATGTGTGTATATTACTATATCTTTGAGCCGGACCTTCGAGACTATACTATAAGAATAAAGGCTGGGATTACTACTATCCGAGCAACAGAAAGCCCGGCACAGGGGGATTCGTTGACCCTTTATAGAGAGCATTTCAACTTTGTATTTCTGTATATGGAAAAGGAAGGGCAAATATGTCATTTGAATAGTCAAATTAAAGTCAAATGAGGGTAAACATGTAATTTTAATCATTAAAGAAATAATTTAGTGGGTCAAACCAAAGTCAAATGGTAAGAATGTCTTTTTATACGTAAAAAGTGGTCTGACACACCTGTCAACTAATTTTTGGAGTGTGAGTGAAAAACGGAGTAAACGTTTATAATGTGAGTGATAGTTATTTTCGAAAGATGTTTTAGACTGATCTTTGGCCAAACTTCAGGGAGTGTAAGTGAAATTATCCCTATTTTTTATATATTTTCACCATTTCAGCAAATCAACGTGTAACTCCCGCATGCACTTGGAACACCTGGAACCCTAAGGGCCTATTTGGTGTTTAGTCTACCATGTTTTGTTTTCTTCCCAAAGTGTTACAGTACCACTATTGAGGCCCAAAATATGTTCGGCATGGCCTGTATTGTTTTCAAGAGTGTAAGAACGTTTTGCAAGAATGGGCCAAATGTTGGAACAAAATTTCAGTGTTTTGCCTTGTTCCCAAAATTTGGCCGGCCCACTAAACACTGTAACGGGTGAAACATATGCCAAACTTTGTTTCATTTTGAGAACAAGTATAAAGACAATCGCAAAACATTTCTAGGGTTCAAGCAGCAAGGCGATTCACAGTGGTCTTTTTGTCACTGCAGTGGGGTTGAAATTGACGATACTGAAATAGATCTGAAACTTTCCGAGAGTCTTTTTCTTCTCACTAGTGAGTTCCTCTGCCAATTCCGGAGGCTATTCCAAAAACCTTACCTGTGCGTTGCTAAAAACGATCTCTATCTCACCTCTACTTTTTTCGGCGTACCCCACCTCTGCGTTTTCCGGCGAGCCTAAAGCTTCAGCGCGTATATCTGTCACTCCAGCGAGCTCTTGTACGCTCTCGTCTGTCGATTCTGGAGGCGATTCCAAACGATTCGTGCTTTGTAGCTGAAAACAACCCTCCATCTAAATATCAGAAGCTCTTTGAAAATGACGACCCACGAATATGATTGTTTTCAAAGCGCTCTCGTCTGTCGTTATTTTCAACCTTCGTTATTTTTTTAACTGAATTTTTGTTTGATCCAAATTCTCAAATTTCTTGCAATTTCTTCAACTGCTATATATATATATAGTTTACACTCTTATACCTGAATCCGCATTTTTTATATTTGTCAATCTGAAATTTAAAAAATAAAAAATAAAATGGAGAAAGAAAAGAACAAAGGAAACAAATTGTGACTTATTATTAGATAATATAATATAGAATAATTATAGGGAGACCGATGAATTAACCCCGAATAAGTACCGAATCTGACGTGTTTTTGTCCACCTCATCTACTTAAACAGTTTCCAAAAATAATTGTTTAACACGTGATAAGAATGGCCAACCACGTCAAATTCAATAT